TAAAATCTGATGTATATCGAGTGAAAATAGAGCAAATTTATCATTTTAAACATTTGTTGAGACGTGCAGCTATTTAATGACTAGATTTCATTTATAAATATATAAATAATATAGTAACTGGATTTCATTTATAAATATATAAATAAAATGGCAGAGTAGTCGAATAAGCAAACACTACTCTCATAGAACTAAATTTATATAAAAATATTGAAACATAAAAATAACAACAACACTAAAATAAAGAGAAATCGAAATCGAATAGGAGGCTTGTCTACGATATTTATTAAGTTGATTTCATTCGTTAACTAAACATTTGTTAATAACTTGCATCGCTGTACGTAATTCCTTCTGTTTTAATAACGCATGCAAAAAAAAACTAAAAAAGAAAACTTTCACACAAACGCGCAACGGCGTAATCCACCATGATTCGTTTCTGTTTTTTCGAGCTTTCATACATCCTTTATTTATTGCGCGCGACCACTCGTTTTTTTGAAAAAATAAATCAGCCATTAGGGCACTACGCAAGCGTGCTTTCTAATATCTCTAGAAAAATTACATGGAAGGTAGGGAATGGAGGGTGGTCACCGCGTTCCCTTTTTTTTATTATGCTGCTGCTGATGGTAAAGGGTGCGATGAAGTAAGTACGACATTTGCATTCGAACTTGGTCTCGCAAATCCGTGCAGGCTTAAATATGCGCATATTGTACGTACCATTTCTACGTATTGTAAATGCTAGAGCTTTTGAGCTTTTCGTTCTTGTTCGACCCGAACGATAAGAATTTTTTCGAATCTCTGAATTTGTTTGGTTATTTTTTTCGATTTTAATGTTTTTATGCAGTTTGCAAGTCTTAATTAACGAATTTTCAATAAATATTTCGAATGCTACTTTGGATTATGAATACAAGTTTTTTTAATCGTATTTTACAACTCACTTTCTACTTAAACTCTCTTACATAAATCAATCCGTAACACTATGAAATTTCTGTGAACTCTGTGTTTCTATTTTCAATTAGTTACTCTATTTTCAGTAATCCACAGCTACGTGGATAAATAAACTTGATTCGTCTGTCTTAATAGGAATTGGCGACAAAATGCATACATTGGCCACAGGTTAATTAGTTGGATAACCGTGGCATCATCCGAAGATACACAGAAAAACAGATACTCGCGTGACGCATACGCACACACATATACACATACTGCAACTGAGCTAACAAATAGAACTAATCCCAAGCGACGAGATGCAGGGAGTTGCGGTTTGAATTCTCGCTCACTACGTCAATTGTTATCGTTTCATTAACTTGACCTGATTATCGCCTGGTCCACGAAGTAATGTATGAAAACACTTTAAATAATATAATTTTAAAAAAATCCATTGGGCTTGGGATACTTTAAAGAGAACTTTTTTTACTATCCGAGGCATTTCGTTAGCCAAGGGACATGTCTAAAGTGTGAACCCGTTATTAACAGAGAATTTTTTTAGGATGGTTAGACATGTGAAAGTTGAATTAAACTTTGAATAGTTCTCACGTTATTCAAGAATTAAAAATAGATTATGTATTTGACGTTCAATTATATATATAATTGAACGTCAAATACATAATCTATTTTTATATATATATATATATATATAATATATATAATTATATAATAATATTAATAATATATATAATATTAATAATATATAATAATATTAAATATAATATTAAATATAAATAAATATAATAATATTAATAATTATATAATAATTATATAATTATACATATATATAAAAATAATATATATATATATATATATATATATATATATATATATATATATATATATATATATATATATATATATATAATTAAAATGTAACGGCAATTTTGCGTTTATCAATGAATTTTTTATACAAAGTAAATACATCCATAAGGCTTCGTTATTGATTTGATCCTATATATGCAGGTTACCAAATAAGTCACTTTATTTTCAGCCTTGATGAGATCAATCCAGTATTTTAGGTCCAACAGAAATATTGACTAAATATAGCTGTAATATCACTGCAGTAGTATACGTAGTTTAATCACGACACGCGCGCGAGAAAATGTTTAATCAAGCGTTCAATCTACATTTTTCATCGGCCACAAATCTTTATGGCGCATCATCCAAATTAAGACGTAAAAAAAGGCGTCGCATACGTATTTTAACATAATATTGATCTCATGCGCGAACCCTCGGGTGTATCTCTAAAAGAGGACCCTTTTTTATGTGTGCAGATGAAATCCATTGAAAGAAAAGAGAAAATACATCAGTCATGTCAATTGAACGTGTAGATGATGTCTTTCTTTCCATTTTATTTCTGCGTGCGGTTGACGATTGTATTACGTCCGAAACGATTTGTATCAAATCTGTAAGATTCATCAACATACTCAGAATACTGATAAGATACATCAATTATTTTGGAAATTTCATAGAAAAAAATGATAATGTTTTTATTTAATTTTAATCTATACTATTCACTTTGAATTTTTATTTATATTAGCAATTATAAAATAAACTACCTAAAATATCATAATTATTTCAATTATTTTGAGAGTTTCAATCATTCTAATGAAAATTTCAACAAGTACAGCATCCGATTACCGAATACGTAGAGAGAGAGAGAAAGAGAGGAGGGGGAGAGAGACAGAGCATGCACGGTTAAATATTAGCATTAACCGTTCGATGTAACAAGCTTCTCTCTGCACATCGACAATGCTATTCGTCTGAACTGACGTGCACATGCATTGGTTGCCTAGTTGCGTCGGTCTCAGCTGTGCCCGAGGTGCAATCGAATTCTATATGTCTACTCAGGATTGCTTCTACGAATACTTTTTGTTCTTTTACTCCTCTTCGTATTTTTCATTTTTTCCTTCTCATCTTTTTCTTTTTATTCTTTTTATGCAAATTATAATGGCCACTCTCGAGAGATTTCCTAGACTCTCGACTCTTGATTTATCGCCTCGAGATAACCAACTTTTGAATTGGCTGGTTGCGAGGACGCAAAGCATGCAGGTTAACAAAACTTAAATTATCTTTTCTTTTTGGGAATGCTTATGCTATTTGGTTTATTAATGTACAATTTAGACGTCTCGACAATAATACGCGTATTCAAAATGTTGCTCAAAGGATTAATTAATTAATGGTTAACCTTGAGTGGTTGGTCAAGTAAATGTTTTTATTTATCAAAACAACTTGATTAGAAATATCGTGTAAAACAAATCCAAGTATTGACCCCAAACATGGTAATTGATCATTACTGTGATTTCTCTCAAACTACGCAACAACCTCGAATCACAAAAATCGAAGCTACAAGTGAACTTTAACGAAGAGATTATCTATGAGTGGAACAGTCGAGGTTTCGAAAAGCTCGCTAGATAGAAAATTTTCCATCAGCGACTGATTAATCGATTGTAAATATTTGTTCGAGTAAGTCTGGGAACGTTTTAGCGCTAATACGAGTTGCGACGCGTTCCTGGCGAAAAAGAAAAGAGGAAGAAACGAATAAGAAGCGGAGTGTGCAAAAAAAGGAAGCATGAAAAGCATGCAGTCGACATATATATAGCAATGTCAATACTATCAGCGCAGTCAAATACTCATTGTCGGAGCTAAAATGAAGAAGATTTTATGCTTTCAAGTCAACTTTAATGTCTGCTACAGATATTGATTACGTGTGTTCATTCCTGCTCGAGATACGCAAATTGCTCTAATAAATTTATATATTTTCCGGATTTTTCCGTAATTTCAACTTCTACTTTAAGGTTTATCGTTCGTATATCGATTTTTCCTTTGTAATTTTAACATTTCGGGTTCAAGCCATTTGATGTCTAATGCAAAGAAGCCATTACTCGTGCTAAATATTGACTGACTGTGCTTAACGAGACAACAAATATTTAGACTTCACTAACTGCTATTCGCAATGCATTAAGATACATCCGAAGCTTGTCATTAAAAAAATTATTATTATTTTGAAATCTTAATAAAGAAAAAGGTTTTCCTTGATTTTATGTTTTTAAAATAAAGCCTGTTATCAGCCCTACCGTTGGCGTAAATATATATCATGTTTCAAATGCAAGAATAACGAAATTACTTAATAACTAATAACAAAAATAATTAAATTATAAGTCCTATTCACGGTTTCCACAAAAGATTGCTTCTATGGCAATTCAAGAAAAATGGTTGTTCGCGTAACAAAAATAGCTTGCACTTGCGAAAAAATCCAAATAAAATTGTCAGAGAAAAAAATCAATACAAAAAAGGACGCGTGACCATTGAAGTACTATGTGCCATGTACCTTGAAAGTAAGTGTGCAGTTTGTACGTGCCGTTGCAATTTCTCATGTCATCGAACAGGAACCTTATAGTTTAAATTGAATCTTATTTTGCGAAGGAACTCTGTGAAATCGACAACTGCTGGACATTGTCAGAGAGGCGCTGACGTAAAACAGGGAGGATATTGGCTTCGAGATTGGAAATCCTTTATCAAGAGATATTTTCTTTTATCATTCGACGCGCTCGCGCGCGAGTAAGAAAGGTCTTCATTTTGGAAAACATTTTCTCACTTGAAATTGGGTCACATTTTTCCGCTTGTGTCAGGTGGAATTATAAATAAAAAAAAGAAGCGATGAAAAAATATTTTACGTTTTTCTACTGTCATTAAAAATATATTATTATCAGTTTAAATACTAGACCAACTTCAATTTACCAAAAAGCATTTTCAAATTTTAATAACACACTTAGCGAAAATTTTGATACCTCCAAATCAAAAATAATTTTTACGAGATACGTACAAATAGTTAGTTTGATATTTCAATGAAATTCAGGAATATTCGTAGAAAAGCTTAATAAGTTTTGATTTTGTAATTGTGGTACGTTGAAATTATTCTGAGTTTACGAATGGCATGTGACTATAATAAGAGCCGCATTAATAAAATGTGTATATGGATACGACGATAAAAATTTGAATGCAAAGACACTGACCGTTTTGTTGCCTAAATTCTTCACCCTACAGTTGAGATAAGTCGTCTTTCCCAATAGTGCCGTCACGTTTTTCGACGCAGTTTTGTCGATGTACGGACCCGTCCGTGACGTCTCGTCCAATGTGTTTTGGTAGCTCTCAGCACCTTTGCCGCTGCTGCTGTGCAGCATACTCGATACGTGAACCACTGCAATTAAAAATATAGATCTATTATAGAGAAATTATTATTTGACACAAACACATTTTTTTATAAAAATAACGAACCAATATAATTATTGCGATAATCAAAAAGTTGACTTTCGAAGGGTCAGACGTTAAATTATCTATAAGAATTTTGTCTTTCAATAGACTTAGTAAGCTTCTGCAGTTTTCGATGATAAATTCTTCCAATGAACATCATTAGATTATCAATCGAACTTACCAATGTATGTTCCCGAACTTATTACTATCGTAATGTTGCCCAAATGCAGATAGTTATACACAGATTCGTTAAAATTCCCGCTCGCAGAACTGGCTTAGCCATATCGCTGTGAAGTGCTGACCTAATCAAAGCGTCCGTCGAAACCACGCGGCGGCGGCGGCGGCGGCAAAATGAACAATTGCGTCTCACTTATTAACGTATACGCGAGAGGCCCAAGCAAGCGCAGCTATTTAGTCGGGAAAGTGCATTGGTCGTATTATCACTCTCGCACCCGACGAGATCTCGTGTAATTGAAGAGAGAGGGGAAGCTGCGCCCAACAATTATTCTAATTTACTTGTGTGGACCGCGTTATCTGCTAAATATTTAACTCTTAGCGGTTCGATTTTTCGTAGTCAGTGATGTGTTGTTATTCAGTGGTTTTTAATTAACCAATTACATTTTTTTCAAAGAGCATAATGCGTTACACGTGTAATTTCGTAGTTATAAAGCATTAATGTGGTAATAAACCGTGGGAGCGATGGTATAAAAACTCAAGTAATTTTGAGATATGTCAAATCTATCTTTACATTTTTTTATATTCTCTGAAAGCTGAGATTAAAATATACGAGTTTGTATGGATAAACGTTTTAATAAATTATAAGGTTCTGCAAGTTGTGCGATCATTCTCTGCTTTTGAGTTTTATTTTCAAGTAAAATTAATGAAAAATATCGCGAGTAAAAAGAACATCGATTTTACCTTAAAAACTACTAAAGAAGCGGAAGTATCTACATTTACACGGAACTTTTTCTTTGACATTAAAAGTACGCTAAAGCAACTCCGGCACTCTTATAAAAACATAATCGTAAGCTTTTACAGCGAGATTAAAAAATAAATCAGCATAATATCTTATTAATGCTAGGTCATTGTTGAAAAATAAAACGAACCTTAATAGAGCGGAAAATAAGGAATATCCCTGTAATCGAGTATAAAATTGGTACTTATGTGTATATGTACGTATGCACATATACGGAATGGTATATAATGCGAAGGTATGAGGCGCGATGATAACAGGTTTTATGTAATAACGAGAAATTTGCCCCAGTTACAACAATGCTGAAAAAAGAGATAAGTTAATTTTTTCCGAATTTGCTTTTCCATGTGGAAATATGCTCGATGTTATATATATAGTACGAAATTGTTGATTCGCGAGCGTGAGAGTTTGAACTACTCTGGTCAGTCGGCTGATCTCTGGCAATTGGCATTTTTGCTGTCGGCGAGAGAGATATTGGCACAGTTTATTCGGACATCAATCGAAAATGAAAAGTGTCACTCGGTAAACAATTTAGTTTTTCTAAGCTCCAATATCAACTTTTGATATATTTAATTGGCAAAATTCATGACGGCTTCGTTATTATTTTTCAGAAGCTCTGCAAAAAAATGAAAATGTTTTCCAAACCGAAATAAGCAAAATGCATGAAGTTTGTATATTATTCATCTAAATACTTAGACTTTCTGGGTAAATAAGCTATAGAAAATCTTTAGCAAATATCTACTTTAATGTTTGTTATTAACGCTCTCATACTGAAATTGAAGCGACGCGCACCGTAATGAGCCGAAAGTCAAGGTTGGATAAACTAAAACTGTTTCATCAGCACGTTAGGTACAAGTTAATTGTAAAGTAATTGAAAGCCTGCGCGGCAATTATCAAACAAATTATCGGGCAAACTATGATTCGTCTAGGCCTCGTGATGTAGGTCACACGAATTACTCCATGGATTTGGAAATTCTGGCGCACGCGAAGACGCAAATAAGATATATATGTGTGTAGATAACGTCTTAAGAGCCGTGGCCCCAAAAAGTCTTTAACTGCCGATCAAAGATCCATTAGGGTGTCGCACAAGCGCCTTATCTCCACGATGTTGCTCCATTAGGCGCTACTCTCTCCAAGGTGCGAACCGGCCGCCGAGCTTACACTCTCTTTTTCTTTTTTTTTTTTCTTGTTCGCGCTCGCGGCTCGTAAAGCTTCAACACTGCCGCTGCCGCCGCTGCTGTGAAAATCCCCGAGAAATTTCGAGATTTTACGGGCCACGTACTTCCGTCGTAAAATATTCGTGCCCCCGCGCGCACCTGATGCAGCTAGAGAGCTACCCGCGTTGGTTTCTTTTCCTTTTTTTTCGAAATGTTATTGCATGAGCGCGAGTTCAGTTGTAAATTTTTGAGTGTTTGTAAAATGTCTTTGATGCGTTTTTATTAATAATTTTTATACCGTGTGTCCAATAGTACTACTTTTGCATGAGTTAACGAGTGGTTTAAATCGATCGCGGGTGACATAATTCGGTAAATAACAAATGAATGGTTTTGCGAATTCTGATTCTATTCCGAAGTTCATGACTGCGAATGAGTCACTACGTAAATAGTCAAATCTACGTAGGATGAAAATGTGCTTATGTAAACATTAGCCACCGCAAACTAAAAAACTAAATGATCGTAATATATTTTTTATTGCTCGCCTTTTGATTTCACGCAGAAGTCACAAGCCAAAAAGACGCTAAAGCAGATAAACAAGCACAGAGTTTTCTGAAAGCAGTAAAGTCACAGAGAAACAGAGATAAGATGTACATGGCGTATAAAGGCTAATAAAAATATCTAGTATCCCGAGTAGCCCGCAAGACGAAGATAAACGGCACGATATGGCACGTAGAACGATGTTTTTTTCCCAAAAGACGAGAGAACGTAAACTCTCTATGGCAAATCGCCATTATGATACGATATATCTCGATGAAATTATGCTGGCGTCAAAAAAGTTTTTTTTTCATCTGATTTATTACCTGCCGTGTATCGATTGTAACATATTGATCGAGAAAACGTATTTCTAGAGATTTCTGTTTAAAAAATAATAGATAAGTGTCAAAGTCAAATTTTCACAAAAGAAAATGGAATTTGCGTGTCTGCATTTTTAATGCCATCGAATTATTTTGATATCAAAAGACTGCGTAAAAAGATAAAGCGGAGAATATTCTGGTAGATGACGATGCTGAAGTATGAAGGATGAAAAATTCTTGCATAAATACCGAATGCATTAAATAAACTTAAATTTTCTTTTTTAGGTCAAATTTATTTGGAATTTCAACGAAGCTGTAGTGCAATGTAACATATAAGCTTGTCGATTTTTTTCTTGAATCGAATTTAATCTGATTCAGGGCCTTATCTAATCTAACATATCTTTTTACACATGTGCAAACAAACGCAACGAAAAATATGAAGCTACTTAGAATGCATATTCCTCAAACTCTTTTTTAAGCGGAGCATTTAGATGCCTAACTTGGTCGTGTGTATCCGCGGCTGCAGAGGAGATTTTACATGTGTTTATAGCACCAAGTTCAGAGTTACGAAGCAGTTTTTAGTTGAGCCAAATGGAGAAGTAAGGAAATTGTAGGGTAATAGAAAAAGTTTTTGAATTCGTGGTTATTGGCTGCGTAACTTGACTTGAAGTATAGCTACTGTGATACACGCGTGTATGTAATCGAATATGTATACTGAAAATCGAGTTACCAAGCGAATCGAATGAAATTCTTCCTAAGATGGTTGTTTGAGTACTCTTACAGTGTATTTTCAAAAACGCAGAAAAAGTTCGATCATACGACCAAAATAAGGCACACGTTTGAATTTAAATTCATGAAAGCTCATTCGTCTCATTCTCCGAGGAACTATTCAAGTCTAATTATGTTTAATTAATTTCATCCTATTACATACTGACAATAAGAAAACTCACCTGTCACGCATTTATTCCAGAAAATTGAGTAACTCAAATTGCCTCGCATAATCGAATTTTCGCCGTTAGCATCGTATGAGTCATTAGCGTGGGTGAGAAAAAAAGCAAGAACTCGCTCAAAAGTTTTTTTCATCCCTATCGATCGACAAAATGCTCGCGGCAGTACTGTAAGCGTGGTATAGGTAGGTAGATGCTTGCGGGAGAGCAATTAGCGGTAAACGCTGGGAAATAAAAGCTCAGGCGCAAGAGAGCGACGCTAATCGGCCTCCTGGACTAATTCCCAGGAATCATTCTGCGGTGGGATTAATAGAGTACTTCTATTGGCAAAAGAGAACCATTGGATTTGATCAAATTTGCTTTATTAGGTTAAACGAGACTTTCTTTTCTTTCGTTCTCTCTTGCGATTTAGGCCACCAGCTTGAAATAAAACGCAAAAATACTTTTTTGTAACAATTATGAAATACAAAATGAATTCAGGGATTAATCCTGAACTCATTTGTATTTTTCAATTTTAGTCCACCAAGTCAAAGCCGTGCTCTGATGAGATTGTAGAAACATACTTGTTACGTCATTTTTGCTCGTCATTTATTAGCATTTGTCAATCTACGTTCCTTGCATAAATAATAATTCCTCGCGCACGTTTTGATGAAGATAACACCGGCAAGTCGACTGAATAGAAGAGGAGACGAGAGAGAGAGAGAGAGAGAGAGAGAGAGAGAGAGAGAGAGAGAGAGAGAGAGAGAGAGAGAGAGAGAGAGAGAGAGAGAGAGAGAGAGAGAGAGAGAGAGAGAGAGAGAGAGAGAGAGAGAGAGAGATACTTTTAGATAGTAATTTTTCTTTCGTGATTTTCTTTTTTCACCTCACATTTAATAATCCTCGCTTAAGTGTTTGTTATCTGAAACTATTAAAAAGCGAGAACATTTGTCGTTTAAATTTTTCATTTCAATCAAATACCAAATACTGAAAACTCTATTATACCGCAAATTATTTTCTACGAATTATACAGTAAACATACAGTATATAATTATACAGTAAGAATGAATTATACAGTAAAGCTTGGACTTTGTATCACTATGAATCTACTCTACGTTATTATAAAATGAATCTTATAGAAATTATTATTAGTTAGTGAACGTTCTACTACTAATTAGTCGCAAAAAAAACTTCGTTTTTGGAACTCGAATTAAAAATCATATTAAATTTTCTTTATATTTTTGCCACTTAGCCATATACTGCTGAAAGCAGAAATTATCGCTAAAAGCACCAAGTTTTTATAACAGTATTGTACTTTCCTTACAAAAGTTTCATATTAATAATGAACCGTCAAGTTGTAAAGAAAGTGGTGGGTTTAGAACAAAATATTATCAATATTGTGAAATTTGTTTGCAAGTTGCATATATAAACTATAAAAATGAAAAGTACAATCTCCAAACCTCCACACTCTTCCATACTCCATCACATTTGAAAGGTTGGCCTCTCATGAAATAAAGTAGAAATTCATTCAAAATTTACGTTATTCTTTCTTACTCTTTGTATGTATCTTTGTGCATTCAGTGCTTGTTAGTAAATAAATTATTTAAAGTTAATAAAAATAGTATTTAAAAGGGTAATAGTTGCTTCAATTTAATTTCGAAAAAAATTCTCAACTTATATAATGAAAATAAATTCTTTATCTTATATAACTACAAATGCATATAATGCAAATGCAAACTATACTTTATGTTATATAACTACAAACAGAATAAAAAACTACGATATGAGTAGTCTCAAGTATTGGATTAAAAGCTTTTCCGTATTTTAACCTCCAATTTGCACCGTCGGTGCTTATTTTCGGCTCTCATGCGGAATAATACTGTTTCTAACTGATGCGAAAAGGCTTTTTGACGAAACAAGAGGTTTACGGCACAAGTCAAAGTAGGAAATGGAAATATTGACCTGCGTTTCTATAATTTCAACATTAAAATCGTACATCTTATGAAAATTAATTTTCTTTCCTATTATTAATTGTTTATAAAAATATAAATTAATTCAAAATATAACAAATTATTTTATACAGAAAATTGGTCACGAATTTACTGTTGAATTCTGGAAGTACGGAGAAATAGTTCTTAAGCTTCTAATTTGTTATCATTATCGTCATCCTTGATGAAATTTTTATTTATAATTTAATTTTATATGAGTTTATTTTTTATTTAATGTTATGTATAATTTATTTTTATTAATATAATTACAGTTTTAATAAATTTGTGCATTCTTGTTTAGTATAGTTTTTATTCGGCGTTTGAGGGGTTAGCGAAAGGACTAAATAGAGAGGCCGAGCCCCCTATTATATGTACATACACAGAGAATTCCTAGAGCTTGGTAGCGCCTCGTCAAGGTCTCAAATTAATTAACAGCTGAACCAATCTCTCTCGCTATATATGTGTATAGTAAGTGTAAAATTCTTGGGTTGTGCAAACAACTCTAATACTCTTAAGCTTCGTGGCGCTCGCGCGAGCAAGTTCCGCCCTTCGCGTCAAATCCTTTCAAACGCCCAATAGTTGGAGCACGAGTATCGAAGTTTGAGGCTAAGTAGCCCACGACGAAACTACACAAACTTGCCGCTTACGAACAGTCCGCAAGCGATTGCAATTGTACGCGTAATACATCGAAATTTCTAGTGATATGAATCTGTTGTGTCCGTGACGACACGATATCACTATTTTACTTAACGATCAATTTCAAGAGTCTGTGTTGCTAATCCGCTATGCAGTATAGCAATATTCTCCCTTACCTCTTTTTCTTTATTTTCTTTTTTTATAGATCTTGCGTGCCGACGAGTAAATGACGAGAAAATTATTGCCTACTCATGCACTGCAAATGCAAAGATAAAGAGTGAGAAAGAGTAGTGATTTGCTCGCGATGATTTCTTTGATTGAATTATTCAGTTAATATTTCTTGATAACATTTGCTAGACAATTTTCACTCTTATCTAATGGGCTCAAGTTTCCTAAGAGGATTCAAAGCAATCTTTTTCCCGTTCATCGTGCGCACTAGTAGTTGTACTATTTTTGTGTCAATTTTTCGTAATGCTAATGAAATTAATAACTACAATATTGTGGTCATGCGCATTGATAATTGACGTACGTCAATGCCACAATATGTATTGATCAATACTTAAAAAGGCCGAAAAATGCTATTTGCTTCATCTTTTCAGTGAGCGCGTTAGCAAATCGTCAAAGATTCTACAAGTCATGCATTATACTGATAATTCAAATAAAAGTACAAAATTAACTTACATAATGAGACTAATGATCTGTGGAGTATTAAAAAATAGAATACAACTTTGTGCAATCGTGAAATGAGTTAATCTTATCTAACGAAACTAAATTTTTGGTTTGTAAGCACAAAACACTAGCATAGATGGTGTTTTATCAGCCTTATACAAACAGTTTCATCTCAAATATTATTGTATGTAGTCGATGTGAAAAAGAAAAAAAAAGATAGTCCACCGAATACGTTTTCGTTATCAACTTTACCGCGAAGTATTTTCTTCTTAAAGAATTCGCATGCTCAAAAAATTAGCATTATTCGCTCAGGAAATAGTTTTTCCAGAAAAAGAAAAGGAAAGCTCAAGTCTATATACGAAGTGAAAACAAAGACCGAGGAATAGGGGAATAGGAGGAACTAGTGTAAACAAGAAGTCATGGAGGAACTCGATAGCAAGATAAACTTATGGATACGGGAACGTCTGATTCCACTGCTGCTGCCAACCGGGAACGAGTCCAACAACGCCAAGTTCACCATCTCGCGACCAACTGGAGCTTTCTTCATATCTGACCTATTTTTCGTCACCATTCACTCGGATAATAGTGAAGACAAAAGTGCCGTGGTCAAACTGCCTCTTCGTAATCCTGGAGTTAATGTTGTTATCGAATATGATGGGCTCTTCACGAATGAGATCTTGTTTTACAATAAAATCGCTCATATTTATCATAAACATTACCCGAAGTGTTATTTAGGTACGTTAGATCGATGTTATAAGTGTCAGTATATTACATGACAGTCAAGTGAAATTTCTTTTATTTTCAGCTGGAGATGATCCGATATTTAAAAGTGTTATTGTGTTGGAAGATATACGCCCACGAGGTTACACAGTTAGCCCTAAAAAAGTTAACGCTGACATACATTACATAGCAGCAGGTTTGAAAGCTATTGGTAGGTTTCACGGACATATTTATGCTATAAAAGAGAAGGATCCAGAGATGTATTGTGAAATTATAAAGACCACTTGCAGAATTAGGTATCGAAATGATTCTAATGACAAAAAATTGAAAGTTGACGTAGATGGTAAATTTCAACGACTATTACGAGCGCTTCGAGACAGAAATCGTGATCCCGAATTCAATAAAGTAATTTGCAAAGCTTTTAAAAAACCATACAATGATATATTGACGAAATGCGCTGAACCAATTGAACCACTTGCTATAATAGTTCATGGCGATTGCACAATGAACAATATTCTTTATCGAACATCAAACGATGGCGAAATAGAATCAATGCTCATTGATTTCGGTTTATTGATGCATTCGTCGCCAGCTACTGACGTTTCTACATTTTTGTACATGTCTGCTAAACGAGAAGACATCAGAGATCGACTAGAGTGAGTTAACACTTTAGCAATTTCTATTTACATGAACTAATGCTAGCTTGGAATATTACAGGGAGCTATTCACCATTTACCACGACAGTTTAATAGAATCTATGAAAGAACATGGAGTTTGGGACTCAAACAAATATTCGCGACAAGTTTTCTGGCAAGATTATTGTGATCGTGCAATTTTTGGTTACGTTGGTGCAGCCGTGTTTTTCCGGTACTTTATGATAATATATGAGAAAAATGATGTTATACCCGAGTATTCTGAAGCAATAGCGGATCAATTTTTTGAGAGTACTGAAGGTAAAGATTTTATGGATGAATTGATCAATATGCTGGACGATTTGCGAATATCTGGAATGTTGAATCATATAATTGACAAATCTAAAAAATAAAGATAACGCAATAAAAATAAAAAAGATAGGTATTGTTAATGTTTATTACTTCGTGAATTTTACCATATTGACATCACATCGAAGTGACTGCTTTTGATACCAATTATATTTTAAGATACGAATAGTACTTTTAAGATATTTTTAAAAACAAACAATGTTTAGTTTTTAAAAGTTATTAACTTATGTTTGTAAAAAATGAATTATTTTCAATGGAATCACATTTTGATTTAAAAAATTCTTTTCTTATCGTATTCCTTGGTCCGTTTTCTATACAAAAATGTATTACTATTTTTGTGCACATCAATTGCGGGTTCTATATAAACAATAAAAATAATTGAGGCACTCCACGTCGACACGTCACTCGGCGACTGTATACATGTAACTCTAGCTTTTTTTACAATATATTTATTGTTCCTTAATAACAATATGATCTATATGTTACAACCATTGATCAGAATATGAAAATTCGTAAAGTATATTCCATTGGCGTATACAGAAATTTTTAAAATAATACTTTGTTCGAATCCAACAAAACCCTGTCACTTTAATATAATTGCCATGTATAAAAATCTTAATACGATTATTTATAGAAAATGTCTAAGGATTATGATGGCAAAATAACTTCGTTGAAAAAAATTTATTTTTACAAACAAAAGTTAGTAATAAAAAAAATTTCAAATAATTATCTTAAAATTAAATAGCATTATACACTTTTAAAGTAAAATTTAATTCATATTCAATTAAAAAAAAATCATTATATCGAAATACAAACCAGATAAACATGAAATGCACCCACATATTAGAAAAATGTAGCAATAGACATCTATCTACCACATCTATGAATCCGCCATCTCACTTTTCACTTAATTACACTTCAACAAATCTATCTGTATAAAAGAACATAGAATTAGGAACATTTTAACAAATACTCTCGACAAGCCTTCTGGCAAAAGTACCGCGGCCGTGAGATCTCCCGTAAAGTCAGCGCAGCTGCGTTTTTCCGTTTTGTCGTGATATAGTGTATGTACGCGATAATGTTTTTTTAATGAGATATGTTGCTTGTTGATTACAAAATATTTCGATAGCATTGAAGGTTAAGATCTTCTCGTTTATTCGATTGATATGCTTGACAAATTATGAAATGTTCAGTATTATTTTACTTGAGAAATGAAATTAAATAATGTGGGTATAGCAAACAGTAAATGAGAAATAACTAAACTGCACTGAAAAGTTTTTCTTTTTCAATTAAGCAAATAGTTGGTCCTTGATACAGTCTCGGTCAGAAATTAATACAACAAAAAGTTTTTTTCAAAAGTTCAAAATATGCAGCAAATTAAAGAATTTTTATATTTTTGATTTTACTTATATGCTTCATTATATTTACAAGGGTTAATCTTTTTTCACTTGTTAACCCATGTGATAAGACCTACCTATTTTTATATCATTTTTGCAGCTTCTTATTTGAAAAACATCAAGAACAAAGCCTTATTACTTAAAGAATTATTTTTCATAGTTCAAAAGACAAAGCTTTTCTTAGTAAAAGAGGATTTGTCTCCTTGTCACAAAACTGCTTGTTAAGTGCAATTAATAAGTATGCATAATTATGTTAAAGTGACTTGGAAACGATATTAAAAGATTTTAATACGCACTAATTAAAGTTAAACATACTTATCAAGTAAATTTTGATTTACTCGACTTGACTTGTTGAAAGATTGCACTACAGTAAGAGAAGATTATAATAAGATACGATAAGATACGTCATTTTTTTCACATTGATTCACAATCTCGCTATTGCATTATGCCAGATATAGTTTACGGTTAGATATAAAATGATTTTATCTAATCAATCAACAAATCTTGATTACACATTCAGCATCAGGTAAAATGTTTTCCAAGCTTATAAAAATTAGGAAATATATGTACCTGCATCGGAGTACTTGTATGAACAGTGAATTGTGAACGCTAAACGGGTATCTAGTTTACTAAATACTTACGCGTAGTCCACAAGTAGGTATTTTTTTTTGCAATATAAATGCATAATACTTTTTGATAACGCGTAAAGTAAAAAACGAAATAAAGAACAAAGTGGACGAATCATGGATGAATCACGCATAATAGATCCATGGATTCGGAATCATTTGATTCCTCGGTTGGTTAAGGGCGAATCCAATGTCGAGTTCATTATTGAACGACCAAGTGGAAATTACTTTTTATCAGAGCCGTTCTTCATGAATATTATTTCGTCTAAAGGTGAAAAAAAAATATTGGTCAAAATACCATCCCAGAATCCCGAAATCACTGCTGTTGTTAATTATGATGCAATCTTTGCCAATGAAATTTTGTTTTACAAGGCATTGGCTCGTGGTCACAGCCATTATCCGGAATGCTACTTAGGTAAGTAGATCACAATTAATAAGAAACTAATTAATTCAATAAGAAACTAATTACAAATTATTTTCTTCAAGCTGAAGAAGATCCAGTATTCAAAAACGTAATTGTACTAGAGGATGTGCGACCTCGAGGTTACGTTGACAGTCCAGACAAAGTAAACGTACATTTGGATTACATAGTAGCAGGGTTGAAATCAATCGCAAAGTTTCACGCTCATTCTTATGTAATAAAAGAGAAAGAACCTGAAAAATTTCAAAAATGTATTCAGTCTTTGCATGACAGTAGATTCAAAGAAAATCCAATCAATGAGAAATTTCGTAACATAATCAACGAAAGAGTCAAGCGAGCAACTCAAAAAATTCGAGCGAGGAACGATAATTCTGAACTTACGAAAAAAATGTGCAATATCCTCGACGATGCTTTTGTCAATGTAATGATAGAATGTGTCAGACAAAAAGAACCACTATGTACCATAATTCACGGCGATTGTACGATAAATAATTTACTTTATCGATGGCAAAAGAAAGATAAGGAGGATTTACAATTGGAAGCGATGCTTATCGATTTTGGACTATTGATGCATTCATCTCCAAATATAGATATTGTAACTCTCTTATATATGACTTGTAGACGAGAAGACATTAGAGATCGCGCTAGGTAAGTAAATTTATAAATGTTGTTATTTTCGAGTAAATTGAAACAACGAACTTAAATTTCCAGGGGTCTCGTGGAAGTGTACCATTCGAGTTTGGTAGAATGTATGAAAGAACTTGGTATATGGAATGCAAGCAAGTACTCGTTCGAGAACTTCTGGTGTGACTATCGTAGATGTGCAATCTTCGGATTCGTCATTGCCGCGTTCTTCCGTGGCATGATGACCGATTTTGATCGGGAACATAACATTGTTGAAGTGAAATCGATGAGTGAATGGCACGATAAAGACGGTGGTGAGGAAGTGTCACTTTTACTCGTTAACATGTTTGATGATTTACTTGCTGCTGGTATGCTCCAAGATTTCATTGAGAAATAATTATTATCAGTAGTCTACGGCTGCTTATCTAGCTATACGAAAGCTATATCATTTGAATTGTAGCATATTCATCAAAGTTACTTAGTCACGTAATGTATATTCATTAGACCGCTTTTGAAATTTTTAACCTCATTTAGAATAACAGTAATGCAATCGTGAAATGGACATCAAAAAAGAATTGCAAAATTACTAAAATTTGATTGACATAATCATAAAACCAAACAATAATTTTTTCACGAAAAAACAACCTCTATATACGACGTCTATCGCAACGCGAGGTTGACGAAGAAAAAGAATACCACTCATGAACAGTAAAGTTTCTATTAATGGTTTTTATTCCCCCTTTCCCACCCTCAAAGCAAACCACTTAGCAAGCGCGAATCCGTAAACGTCGTATCGCTTGGCTTCGAAGTTGAGCGAAGCCTTCTCTCACTCGTTTGCTGGCAAGAAGATTACAAGAGACGCGGGTTTGGTTTGGTATATACACAGCGCTCTTGCCGTGATTATTGCACCGTTAGTCCAAACTTTCTGAAAACGCAGAATGAGTTAAGAACTGCTAGGGCAAACTTTTGCCTCTCTTATCATCGCTGAAAACAGTTTTGTTTTGTACACTGCGAATAAAACGCACAAGGCGACGACCTTAAGCTACACTTCTTTGGCGTTGCCAGCTGTAATTAAATTTCTGTATATGGATGAGGATTAGTTAAGAGGATTAGATACGCGATTACTTTCTCAATGTGCTTCATTCGAGCTTATTATACGACATACAAGATATATTCTCGTTTTACCTGGAAATGAATATTGAGTTCACGTTTGTTGTATTTGTTATCGTTTTTCCATAGATTACATTTTTCATTATTTATTGAAATGAACGTAATATATTGCAGTATCAGTGTGATTATTTAAAAATATTTTTAAATATGTATGATTATATTTTAGTCGGATTGTCGAATATTGTTTATGAAGCAGTATTATAAACTAAAAGAATTACACTACTTATATTTTCTCTCTTTTTACGGATCGTGAGCAGCATATATACTTAATTTATTTGGAGAAATAAATCAACGAAATGATCTGTTTAAAGAGCGCATCAATGTATGCATATATGTATTTAATCGACTTTTCGAATCTATTTCGCTCAAAAGCTCCTACACGCGCACACACACACAGACACACACACACGCGCGCGCGCGCGCGCGCGCGCGACAAGTTCAGCCATATAAACGTTGTGACAGGACAGCAGACGGAGGAAAGAGGCAAGATGCAACTGTCACGATAGTTGTGTCTGTAAATCGCTGGAGGCGAGAGGCGAAGTCAACACGACACAATGGGGTAAAGAACGAAGCATTGAAAGGGCTAGGCAGCGTGCAAGAGTGAGACGATCAATCGTCCAAGCAAACGTCTCAACCATTGTCGGTAAAAGGAAAATCCTCGTCGACGAAGGCGCGGAAGCTTGCGGCCAATAAAAGTGTGATGTACACGCTGCCCGAGAGCGACATTGTAAACACCGACCTCTCAAATGGTATTTGCATACGACGATCGCATGTGAATTTGTGCACATGTGTGTGCGTGCAATGACGAACTCGTTTTCGGTCGGGACATAAATAAGTAGCACGAGCTTAATTTTCGGATGGATGTGACTCGTACTCATATTATGCATAGTCATCGATGACAAGATAGATTATAGGTATGTTTGCTATTTCTTTTGTATACATCTTTATCGAAATTTATTGTAAGCCTGATATATTCCTTTGGTCTTATCAGCAATGGTTGAAATTACACGTGATGCTTGCTCATTGTTATTTGTCATAGAATCACACGGATAGACACGATCGAAATAAATATCTTGCATGTCACAAACTGTTATCAGATTTGAATGACTTAAACTTCATTTGATTGCATCATTTTGAACTTTCGTAAAATTGTTAGTTAACAAACTATTTACATTTTCGTAATGTCGTATCGAGTACGAAACGTCCGATCGAGTACACTTCATTATATGCGTCGAATTGTGAATTGGAGAAAAAGCTTTAGGAAAGAAAATCGATATCGAAAAAAGAGGACGAGAGTGTGAGCTCTTAATTCAAATTCCAGTGGTATGATATTAAAAACCGTTTGCTACGTCTATTTGTCATACCTGCCATCTCCAGGTTAGGTCCTCAAATTGAGCCGATCGTTTAGACTGCTGTCACTCAACGCATAAACGCGTCTCCCATTCATCTAGATATATCTCTCAGTCAGTTCACAAAGAAGAATGAAAACGCGGAGACAGCTGACGGGCTCTAACGATGTCACGCGAAAAAATCATTTTCTCTTCTGATATTCCGAGGGTCTATGCGTACGCGACAGTGACTTTTTTCTGTTTGTTCTTTCTTGTCGTGGAATGTTTCAGATTTTGGTATGACGAGGACTGTTTATGTGCATAGTAACGCGCGTGTGGCACACGTTTCTTGTGTACGGGTGTCGGCCGCAAATTTGCAAGTTTGCTAGTAAGTCATGCGGGGAATGGCGTGCCAAGAATGCGGTCAAAAAAGAGCTCGTTTTAATGGTGTAAATCGCTTCGTCAAACTATTTACGCCATTAAGACAAGTCAGTTATTTTACGTATGTCGACAAATAGGGATTCGCATATTGTTTTTACTTTGATTGCATGCATCCTGCACTTTTTTCCACGTAATACCTCCTACTTCGCATCTTCGACACATCATATTGTACGAATTACAGTGATTAAGTCAACTTGAAAAATCCACTATCCTGGAAAGCAAGAACGAAAAGAGAAAATCCGCAGAAGTTCCATACATATTCAACCGAATAACCGCGTTCTAGTATCGTATAAACGACACAAGACTCAAGGGGATAACGTAACCGTCGTGAGGGAGAGAGCGTGGTAATTAAGGTAAATAATGCGCTGAATCGTCGTCGTCACATCGAAAAGTGTGTGCGAGTATATGTCGCGTCGGGGGAGATATGGCGCACACTAAAGGGTTAAATAAGCCGATTAGCTAATTGGCCTTATCATAAATAGGGATCGGATGCTTCTAAGCGTTCTCTAACTGATTCTAATTATTCGTCTTATATATCTTAGGCACTTTAATGACATTTTGGCTTTTATTTTTTACATCTACTAATTCCGATCTCGTGAATTCAATTTATAGCAAATTATTTTTTTTTCTTTACTGGTTTCATTCGAATTTTACTGAAGCTGCCCTTTTTGTTAATAATTTGAAAAAAGAAGATATACAATTATTTCCTATTAGTATTCGTCATCGAGAGGCATCGTACAATACTTTCATGGATTAAAAGAGCTTACGGTAAAAACATGATTGTTAGTAATAAACTCTCATGCACAATTATCGTAAAGCATGCTAAAGTATACATTCACGTTTCAACGCGCATAAAACCTAGAATCGATTCTTTAATAGTACTATTTTCTCAACAGTGCAGCGCGCTAATTTGGCAGGAAATGACTGTCAACTTAAAATTAAGTGAAACCTTGAGTGTAATCAGCTGTAACTGAACAGGGCATGATTGTCGCAGTTAAATTTTACCTGTCGTCGATTTGGTAATTGTTGAAGATACGAGTTTGAGTGGTAATAGCGAATAACAACGTATTAAGATTTTATAATTCTTTAGTACTCTCTGTTAATAGATTAATCAAACAAAATATTATACCGAACCTACAATTTTCCATACATCTCATCTTTACATTTGTTCAACTACCTTTATTTTACATTAATTATGTTTGCCATAATATAATTTAGTTTTTAATTTAATTTAAAAAAATAAATACGCACTATACAATTAACTTTTTAACAATTACACATTCGCATAGTTTAAATTAAATATAAATCAAGGTCAGTGAATGACAAGTTTAGAACAACTGGATAACTAATTCTTTGTGCAAATGTGAGTAGTCACAGAGAGCTTAATCAATCATTGTCGTTCGATATATAATTTCAAAATTAACTATTGTGCTACATGTCGTATGATTTGAAGATTTTCAGTAAGAGTCTTGAGTTTTAAAAGATCTGTTCAACGCGAAAATCATCGTTCATCGAAGCATTGAGAACAAATTCATTGAGCATGTATCACATAGCCGAATTTTGATGACACGTGGATGTGACAAAGAGAATATTTCTAGGGAATAGAAATTTGAACTTGGGGTGACACTCGTGAGATGAAAGCTATGAAAATACAGAGAGCCAAACCGGGGGACTGCAAAAAGCAAATTTACCTTTGCTCGGCACTGCGACTATTTTAACGACTTTAGTACTTCAGTTAATCACGTATTTTTAAGCATCTAAAAATATCAATTATAATGCAACGCTAAATTTTAAGCGACTCGATCAGTAATGGTAAATTGGTATTAGTAAATTAAACCGATGTACCAAAAGTTTAAATTCGTGAGCAAGTAGATTCATTCCATTGGTAGTGTTCGAACTACATGACTATCAGTTTTTTAGTCGGTTGAGTCTGCTTTTAGGGTTTATGGCAATCTATGTAAATGAATGACATTTATGCTTTTTTTTTAAAGTAACTAAGGTAACTCAAGCAACAAATTCAAACACACTTGAGAGTATGAAACTCTCCGAGCTCTCTCTTCTCAACTCTTCTCTACTGGTAAAGCATGTGAATGTGGGTTTTTAAGAACATGTCTGCGTGTAAAATATTTCTTTCATTGAAATAATAAAGTTCTCTTGTTCTCTTATCATCTTACATAAAGGTAACTAGTACACCTCTATGAGAAAGTGCTGTAATTATATTTGACGTAAGTTACTGTATTTATTTGTGACAAATAAATTTTGTTCTATCCTATTCTTTGATATCTGCTACATTAAATGTGTTATGTTGCCGCGTAACTTATTATTTTTCTGTTCTCTCCTGGGCTTTCGCCGAGCATAACATGCAGTAAAGTCACCGTGTAAGCCATAAAGGTGAATCAATTGTGCTGCACATATAACTTTCGATTATTTTTTCCTCTACGATTCAGTTATTAAAGAAATCAAAGCGCCAAGAATAAAAATATAGTCGATCAAAGTCGTAAGGCAAAATAATTAATATTAAAAGTTGAAACAAGTCCCAAGCAAAAAAAAACGAATGTCTACGATGGACGAGGTAAACTCTAAATGTGTAGTTTATCTAAGAAAGAGAGAATGTATGTGTATGTTGAAAGTAAGGAAAAAAAAGCTGAAAGAGTGTAGACAATTATAGTGAACTCAAAAAAAGTACGAATGTTAAATAAATTATATTAAAATTACAAAATTACAATAACACTATAGTTAACCGTAAGTTCGCAGAGCCTTTACAAAGGTTACGGTTGAATGGTTATTCGCTTCGGGTGATGGAGAACTCTCTTAAACTATCTCTATCTCTGATCTGTTTTAGACGTAATTTATAAAGGACAGGGCCACATAGTCCCGATTCCTGAAAGATAGGACAGTTCTCCCTGTGATACCGTCTAGTGGCCAGAGGAGATATGTCAGCCTCTGCTAGTGCTGCAAAGGATTGTCGTCGCTAGCCTCTTACAGCCTCGTAGATAGCAAGGTACATGAGGTCGTAGAATGCTCACATAAATTTAACAAAACTGAATTACAGTTGTTTTCGAAAACCTAGAAGGCTTGCTATGGTATAGATTTGATCTCGGGCGAATCTCAGAAGTTGGCCGCGTCGTCTTAAAAGAAAAAAGCCAAAAATGGAAAAAATTAGAAATTTACGTTCTCGTTTTCTCTCTCTCCCTCTCTTTCATGTCCTTTTGTGGGGCCCGATTGGCATTCGAAAAGGACGGACAACGCGAAGTTCATGTGGGTGCTCAGTTACCTGAGAATTATTGCGCGAAGATGCTCCTTTTTATAACGCGACATAGCTTAACAAGGTGCACAGGACAATTTAGAGATAACTCAGATGTATCGATCTTAAGAGCGAGCGAGTTTGCATCCACGAGCTTCTTATGGTTAATGCCGAAGCTGTCGAGAAACATCGACAGCTCGGCGTACAGTGAACCCCTTCGAAATAAAGAGTGATAGAGAGAGACGAGATAATTCATAAGACTGGATAATCCGACACATTTTAGATATGTGACGCGCGTCTGGCAAAATACACAGCTAAGATTAAACAAGAGAAAATGTCCAGTTGCTAATCGAAGTAAGAAGGGTATAAGGTGAAAATACGACGGACGTAAACTTTTTTAACGTCACGCAAATTTCCAACGATCCATTTTATCTTTTTCTACCTTCGCGTGCAGTAAATGTTTCAGTTTAGAATTCAAGCAATTTCGCGAAAAACTTGCAATGCTAAGAAACAATAGAAAAGAATATTGTTAGCTTGGCCGAAAAGTAAAACTTCTATTCTGGGTAATAAAAATCCATCGATCGCTTGGCGAATAGGTCGCGGGGTTTTTAATCATTTACGCGCAATAAAATATGGCAAACGCGCGCTGGTCCTAGTTTCAATAGACAGTACATTGAATTAGTGTTAGTTCCGGAATTGGCTACCTGGCACATCGAATCAATTTTTCAAAGTCCGCCGATTGAAACGCACATTTGGCAGCGTTCGAGAACTTTTTTTTCACCGTTGGCTGATTCCCAGAAAATTTTTCAACTTCCTGACCACACATCCTGATGTTGGAGGTTCATATTCATCGGACACATTTAAATTTCCGCAGCTCGTATAATCCAGCGGAGAAATATAGAACCGAAGCTAACGAGCAATTAGCTCTCTCTTTCTCTCTCGTGAAAAGAAAGAATGGAATCGAGTGTAACTAACGCTAATTTTCCGGCCTAGTCTGCGGTTATTAAAGCCGCATGGTCTTAAAGGAAGACCCACAGCCGCAGCAACGACAGTCAAAGTCAAG